ACCACAAAATTATTTTCGTTGCTACTTCATAACTGTAATGTTGCTACTGTTATGAATTGTAATGTAAATATCTCATATGCAGGATGGTCTTAGGCGACCCCTGTGAAAGGGTCGTTCGACTGCCAAAGGGGTCGCGACCCACAGGTTGAGAACCGCTGCCTTAGAGGCATCAGGAAGCAGAAGGAAAGCTGGTCTGGGGACCCACCCCTCCATTCTGCTGTCAGGGCACACCTGGGCGGGGCCTCTAGAGCTTTCCAGCTTTAGGCCTAGCAGTGGGAGGTGAACCCTTGTGTGGCACTGAACCCCTGGGGTCTCCCCTGTGGGGACCTTTCTTCTCCCTGGAGGCTGCAAAGTAACTCGAGTGTTTTTCTCAGAGCTGCCCACACCAGAGGCCAAGTGCTGCCCCGTCAGGGCACCTACTGTGTGCTTCACCTGGCTGGGCGGACAAGGAGGTGAGCACACAAGTAGGAAGCTGTGTCCAGAGCTGGGAGGGAGGGGTCTGGGCCAGGCAGAGCAGTGGGGGTCCAGGGAGAGTGAGCAGGAGGCCTCAGAGTATTAGCACAGCTGGGAGTGAGCACAGCGGAGAGGGGAAGGGCCGATACAACATCAAGGACTCAGGCCTACGGACCCTGGAAGCGTGGAGCAGACGGGCTTGCCTGCGTGTGCCCAGGGTGCGCCTTCCTCTGGGCAGGCAGAGAGGGTTGCATGGGATAGACAGGCTCTCCTCCACCTTGAAGCTCACCCCAGGGGCCGCTCATGGGAGTGAGGTATGGGTGGAGCCACATCCTCTAGGGATAGGTAGGGCAAGTTTTGAGGGGTAGAGAGCTGGCTGGTCCCACAAGAGGGATTGGCCAGGGGTGGTGTGCCCCATCTCTGGGTGGCATGCCCTGGACTAGAGGCTTCAAGGCAGAAGAGGTCAACTACCATGAGAGAGAGAGAGAGAGAGAGAGAGAATGCTGAAATGCCCAGGGCACCATATTCACCACGGGGAAGAGGAAGCAGCCTGGGGGTGGGGCGAGCAGGAGGGTGACCAATTGTCCCCGTTTGCCTGGAACTGACCCCATTTTAGCACTGAAAGTCCTGCCTCCAGAAACCCCTCAATTCTAGGCAAACCTGGACATTTGGTTGGTTTCAGGGGAAGGAAGGTGTGGCAAGAGGCTGGGGTGGAGAAGGAACTTCTCAGGAGCCTGTCAGTGAGATGCCAGGGGCCAGAGGTGGAGCCCTGTCCATAGGAGGATCCCTGTGTGAGCAAGGGAATTTCAATAGGTCCCCGGTGCTCATGCTGACAATAGCAGCAACACCTCCCACTTACATCTGACAGTGCCAAACCCTCACACACCTGATGCCATTTGATCTGTCAAGCTCTGAAAGCCACGCATTAGCCAGGGCAGGTGTTATTAGCTGCTCTTTGGCCCAGGAGCCTGGGTGGAGGGTGGAGGGTGGAGGGTGGAGGCCTCCCACTCACGTGCCTGCAGCACTCAGGCCCCTGCCCCAGCCCTGCCACACTCTCCAGGGCATGCCCAGGGCTGGCCACCTTTGCCCTCCTGCAGTGAGAAACCTGTCCACGCAAACCATGCAAAGAGCCTGCTGTGATGCCTCCCTCCCCACCCAAGGAGCCCAGGAGCAAGGGGCCTTGCAGGCTCTGCTGAGAGAGATGGGATGCCACAGAGCGGGACGTTGTGTCTTCCTGCCTTCACTGTCAGTGCGCACCTTCCCGAGACCCTGGCCCGTGGCCTCTACGGCTAGTAGACGCCCTCCCGCCTCTCCTCTCCCTGAGCCCAGCCCCTCACCCAGCAATGTCTCCTTTGCGCCCCAGGGCTCCTTTCTCTTCCACGTAGCGCCTTTCTGGCAGGAAGGTGCCACCTCTCAGCCAGGCAGTAAGGCCAAGCACTTGGCGCGCGCACCCCTGCCAGGCACGGTGCCGAGGGAAAGAGGGACACGTGAGGCTGAGGCCCTGCTTGCACATCGTAGGGTTGGATAGGGAGGATCAGAGCATCGGGCTCTGCTGTAAACCGACTCTCACGTGCTGGCCTCCTGTGGGCGTCCTCGCTTCTCTCAGGCCTCCCACCCCAGCCAGGCTCCTCAGTCTGTCCTAGCTTCTCTGTCACCTCATCAAGGCAGGTCTGCCGCCTCTCTACCTCCCACCACGTTCCTCAGTGAGCTCAGACCTTGACTCCAGAGATGGTGAGAACTGAGGCCCTGAACCCTGAGACCAGAGCAGGGAGCCCTTACAGCGCTCCTCAAGCCTGTAGCCCCTCAGCCCCCGCGGGTCCTGGAGGACATAGGCCTCCCCTTAGGCTCCCTGCCAAAGCTGGGGGATGTGGAGCGGGAGGTCATGTTTTCAGGGGCCCTGAAGGAGAAAAGGAGGATTCCTGGAAGGGGGTCGGGGGCATGGAGGGCTGGCGAAGACGGGCCCTGGGTGGACGCAAGTCCTGCCATTCACGCAGTGTGGGCTGAGGGGTGGGAGCACTGTGAGCACCACGCCTTCATAAACTTCCCCGTGGGCCTCCCCCTTCCGTGCCCTGCCCCCCCCTCCCCCCCAGGCTCACAGCAAATGCATGGGTGATGCAGTAGTAACTCCCCACCGAGTCATGGACCGAAATCCTTTGCCCACAATGTTACCAAAGCAGGCTGCAATTGTTCCGAAGAGCATTTCTGAAAGGAGAGACAACTGTAGGGGGGAGAAGGGGTCCAGGCTAGACTCAGATGGCTGTGGTTGGGACTAACTGTACACTGGCTGGGTGGCCTTAGGCAAATTTCCTAATGCCTCTGAATCCTGGATTTGTTTTATCTACAAAAGAAGGGAAGATAAGACTAATCTTCAAGAGCTTATATGAGATAATCCTATATAAAAAAAGGCTAATATGCAAATGGACCAAACAGCAGAACGACCAGTCGCTATGACGTGCACTGACCACCAGGGGACAGACGCTCAATGCAGGAGCTGCCCCCTGGTGGTCAGCGCGCTTCCACAGGGGGAGCACCGCTCAGCCAGAAGCCAGGCTCACTGGCGAGTGCATCGGAGGTGGTGGGAGCCTCTCCTGCCTCCGCAGCAGCGCTAAGGATGTCTGACTGACGGCGTAGGCCTGCTCCCGCCTAAGTCAGACATCCCCCAAGGGCTCCCAGACTGGGAGAAGGCACAGGCTGGGCTGAGGGACCCCTCCCCACCACCAAGGGCTCAAATTTTGTGCACCGGGCCTCTAGTTGATACTATAAAAGAACTTGACACACAGAAATACTTTTCTGTCCACCATGAAAATAATGGAGAATCACTCTTTTCCCTTCTCTCCATTTTTCAAATAATTTTCTGGTGTGGTTGTTACTTCTCTTTTTACAGCCCTAAGTGAGAACAAATTGACATACCATAAACTGCACAAATTGTGCAATTTGATAAGTTTTGTCTATGTATAATCCATGAACCATCACCACAATCAAGATAATGAAAATATCCATCAAACCCCAAAGTGTCCTGGTGTCCCTTTCTAACATCTCCTTCCATCCCCTCCCCATTTCCACCATGCTATCCCCAGGCAACCAATGATTTGCTGTCATTATACTATACTACTAATAATTAGTTCACATTTCCTAGAATTTTCCAAAATTCTAGAATTTTCTAGACAGAATTATACAGTATGTGTTGCTTCTTTCATTTGCAGTTATTTTGAGATTCAATCATATTTTAGCATATAGCAAAGTTCTTTTTTGTTGTTGTTAATCCTCACCCAAGGGTATTTTTTTCATTGATTTTTAGAGAGAGTGGAAGGGAGGGAGAGGAAGGAGAGAGAGAGAGAGAGAGAGAGAGAGAGAGAAACATCGATGTGAATGAGACACATCGATTGGTTGCCTCCTGCACATGCCCAGACAGGGGCCTGGGATCAAACCTGCAATCCAAGTATGTGCCCTTGACAGGGAATCAAACAGACCCTTTGGTGTGTGGGCCAATGCTCTAACCATCTTGCCATACCAGCCAGGACCAAAGTTTTTGTTTGTTTGTTTGTTTTGTGTGTTTTTTTCCTCCAAATATATGTATTTATTGATTCAAAGAGGAAGGAGGAGGGACAGAGAGAGAATCATTTACGGGCTGCCTCCTGCATGCCCCCTACTAGGGATGGAGCCTGCAACCCAGGCCTGTGTCCTGACCTGGAATTGCACTGTGACCTCCTGATTCATAGGTCAACACTCAACCACTGAGCCTCGCTCACCAGGGTCACCCCAATTTTTAAAAGTGTTATTTTTAAAGCGAAGGCTGCACAGGTGCCGTTTGAATGAGCACCAGTTGTGACTTAGTGGAGTTTTAGGCGGTTAGTCTCCTTTGTAGCCTTGTCAGGACACAGCCTTTGGCATGTTTTCGTGTGCTGAGAGCATGCGTGTTTGTGTGTGGTGAGCGCTGAGCTGGAGTTGCGGCCATGATGGCGCGTTTGCTCCCCTGCTGAGCTCCCTGCTGCTCGGGGTCTTCAGTCTGTTCCGGCTTCAGGGTCTGTGCCGCTGTCCTTTCTGGGCGATGAGAAGGTCCCGCGTGATGTGCCACCATGAAAGCCAGAGTCCCCTCCAGGTCCTTCCAACCCTGGGAATGGGGAGTGGGGGGATAGGAAGCAGGTGGGGTGCAGCCCTAGCAGCAGTGCAGTGTGAAAGGCTCCCCAGGCTGAGGATGTGGCCCTGGAGGGACAGGTGAGGGAGCGCCTGGCCCCTCACACGTTCCTTTACCTACAGTCACGCCCCTGCTGGGGCAGGAAGGGGCAGGGAAATCCCATTCTTCTCTGGTCTGTGCACTCCTTTCTGTTCTGCGTTCCGCTGCTTCAAACCAAGGGAGGAAACCTGCCCTTTTCTGTGTCTACCTTATGTTTGTGTCTCGTTTGGAATTCTTCAAGCAATTTACATCTCCTGTCTCATTCTTTCTTCCGTGCCATCGTGAAATCGCACAACCAACTCTCCACCCGAAGGACCTTGCCCGGGGCTGGCAGTACTGGGCCCATGCGCCCAAAGCCTCTCCACCCGCAGACATGCTGGTCAGTGACCGAGCCTGCCACCCCCCCAGCTGAGCCCCCCACTCTGAGGGCTGGCACAGACCACGCATCACTTTGCCGTCTCTGTGAGTCTGAAATCCTTGAATAGACAGGTTAGAATTCGTAAAAAGCGGTTCCAGCGTCTTGAAGTTTTGCATTGGCACCTCCACGGAAACCTTTCTTCTTAAGCTCTGGGGGCTCCCCTAACGGACCCAGCCGAGCCAGCAAAGGGGCCACAACGGCCTGAGGAACCCTCAGGTGCTCACAGCAACTGCACCCTGGGAAAAAGGGAGGGCACCCAGCTGCCCAGCCCAAGCCCCTCAGACCTAGGACTCGGGGGGAGGGCCGCCTTGGGGCCAGGGGCAGAGAGGGGAAGCGGAGCTTCTGGAATCTGGGCTCTGACTCCACTTTGCTCTTCAGCCTCCATCCGAATCCTGACGTTGGAGGGGAAAAAAGCAGACCCTCCAGGGCACAGTCCAGGAGCTGCGGGGCGCCTCCCTGGCCCTGCAGGAGAGCAGCATCAAGTGCACGGAGCTGCAGGAGGAGAACTGGCAGCTCTGGAAGCAGGGAACGCTGGGTGGTGTCCGGAACACATGGGTGAGCCGGGGGCCAGGTGACCCGTGGGGTGACAGGTGTGGGGTTTGCTTTAAAGCCAAGTTCAGTTTGGGACCTGACTGTGGGCTGGGTCGTTGGCTCCGCGCAGGTGGAAGAGTTGGGGATGCAACTACAGAAGGAAAAGGCCAGCAGCCAGCACTTAGAGACCCTCAATGAAGAGCTGGAGGGAGACCTTGAGCAACAGTTCAACATCATACACACCCTGAGGGCGCACAGGGCCACCCAGGTAGGCCCTCCAGAGCGCGTGCCCCCCCTGGCGCCCTGCCTGCCAGAGGGAGCATCCAGGGCCACAGCCATGTCCTGGTCATTGATCAGTGATTCCTGGGTGACCAGTTTCCTTGCTAGCTCCAGCTCAGACCAGCCATTCTCAGCCAGGGCAGGGAGACGGGGCAGGTATGGCTCCCCCGGGGCACTGGCCATCTTGTTGATTGACAGAACTCGGGGGAGGAGAAGAGCCAGGCGGTCAGGCTGAGGTGAGTGCCGGCCACTGGCGGGATGACTGGCGGGCTCCCCAAGGCTCCTGTCCCCCCTTCCCTGTGGACCCTCATGTTTCCCTTGGACCCTCTGCTTCACAGGGACTGGAAGGGACCCTGGGGACACATGGGGGAGAGGGAAGGTGGGGGTCTATGGCTGGAGGAGACCCTTGCCCATCCCCGCCTCCCTCAGCTCTGCAGAGAGAAGCCACTCACAGAGGCTGTGCAGGCTCCTGTGAGTCTGTGCCTCGCAGGTGGGTTTCCCTCCTCAGGCAGCAGGACCAGCTCCAACAGGAGGCAGCGCTGCAGGAGCTGAGGAAGCTCCTGACCACCAAGCGGGAGACCCTGCAGCAGGATCAGGAGGCCAAGGTCCTGGCCGCCCAGGAGAAGGAGAGGCTGCGGCAGGAGGTAGACAGGTAACCGCCTCCGCCCCTGCAGGGCAGCTTATGAATGGGAGAGTTTACATTGGTTAAGTCCTCAGAACCTGCTGCATATGTTGCACTGCAGGCGCATCTCAGCTCAGACTGGCTGCGTGTTCAGTGCTCAGTGGCCACACGTGGCAGTGGCTGCCTGATTGGAAAGTGCACTTCTTGGCCCCCATGTCATGGGCCGTGTTGGCCCTTCCGACGGGTGTGATCACACCGAAATGGCATCTCTGTGACGTGGCCTTTTTCCTCTTTTGGGAGCAGATTCCCAGCAGTGGAGTCACAGGGGCGTGTGGTGTGGGAGACGTTGCTGATCTGGGTTTTAGTGCTCACCTGCATGAGGCAGACTTTGGAGGAAGAGAAACGTCACTTCAGGAGCCAGATCAAGAACCGGAGCAGAACCGGAGCCTTCTACAGATGCTACAAGTGCAAAAACTTCCAGCATCACATCACAGAAGTCTCTGAGCCTCATCAAGGAGCCCCCACTCCTGATAGAAGGCAATGGCCACGTCCTCAACGTTCATATCTGTGCTGGTCGCTGCGCCCTGGGCTGCGGGACCCGAGCGGCGCCGGCACCGAGGCTGGAGGGTCCAATGGGGTGAGGCTGAGGGGACTCTGTCAGCGGAGAGGAGTCGGGAGGCTCGGGGACCCCAATCCCGGGTTTTGGGGCTCAACCAGCCTCAGGCCCGCCCTGCGCAGCGGGGACGCTGCCTCCCACGCCGCCTC